GATAAGCCAATGTAGGATCTTGTGAAAGCTGTAGGGAGGATGATTTGCTCATGAATTTTCTCAGGGGAAGTGGACTGCATGATAATATTACTTTATAATGTGAACTAAACCTCTAGTTTTAAGACAAAGATAAGGAAGACTCCATGGGAAATTTTGAGTGCTTGACTGTGTAAATGTTTGAAGAAAGCACAATTTCCTTTCTGTAAAAAAACCTCCCATCATATTATGAGGATTTTGGGGAAACATACTGGTACCTACCTTCAGATGCACATCAAAGAACCTTTTTACTTGAGCTGAAAGTACTTTGTTGTCTTCCTTGGATGGACGCACTAAAATGGGAGATGAAATGTCCAGTTTAATTTTTGATCAACTCATGTATTAAAGCCAGCTGCTGGGTTTATGAATGCATAAGTATATATGGCCTCAATCTAATTCTGTGCTGAATCCTGTGAAAGCAACACTTGCATCAGATGTGTCAAGAATACTCCGTTATACTCTCATTAAAATGTACATACATTTCTGTGTGCTCATGTAACACAGGAACATGGAAGAAAATAAAGTACTAAATAAGACACTCCATTAAACCTGACTTACATTTTTTCACAGATAAAAATTGTGACAGCAATACCACAGAGGAGGATATATTAATTTTAAAAAATTGTATTTGGTTTAAACCAGTTGAGAAACTCTCCTCTAAAACCAGGTTTCTTCGGTATCTCCTATGTTCTTGGCATACTGGGTAAGATAGTTTTCAGGTTACAGGTCAGTGAGGCAAAGCCATGCTTAACATTTTCATAATCAAAAGCCAGTCGAACATCCTCTCAGCATTTTGGCTTTTATTTGAAGCTGTCCTTCTGAGGTGGCTGTACTTTGAACCTCTCTGTCTGGAGATTTTTCCTTTAAATTAGAACTATTTTCACAGAGTCATAACATGATATCTAGCTCACCCTGCTGCTGTAAAGCAGGGCCAACTATGCCTAAATATTTCTGGCAGAAATTAGTCCAACCTGTTCTTAGAAACATCAGTCTCCTAAAGCAAAGCATACCTACAGTAATAAAGGATAGTTTTTAACCTGAAACAATGTCTTATGGTGCATCATTTCAATAGCTCCAATGTTTTACATTACAGTGTTTTGCTTTAGAATAGAATATTTCAGTTGGAAGGAACCCACAACGGTCATCTAGTCCAACTGCCAACTGCCTAAGTTGGGTTAAGCTTTGCCCCAGTCTTCTTGATGGTCAGTGAGCGAGAGCTTTGATTCCTTAATTCTCATCAATATTAGCAGAAATCTCAGGTATTTAAGCTACTCACATATCAATGGGAAGCCTGGCTGTACTGTTCGTCTGTACATCAAGTGCAGGTAGTACGGTACTTGCAGGTGAACAACTGTACAGATCCTAACATTTTAATTTGACTTGTAACAACAATATCTTCAGCTGCTTTATTTTGAAGCTTATCCAAACAAACAGGAACTCACCTTTCTTTCCTCATTGGCATCCTCTTACTGGGGTAAGGCCTGTGTCAAAACACGGGTGTGTTCCTCTGAAGGTACCTGTTCCTTTGAGGTTACCTGTCTACTAATTTAGTGCAGGCATGTGAATGGAGATTCATCATTGCTTTCAGTGAGGCAGATTAAGTCTTCTTCAATATGATTTAACAAACACACATGGATGAGACTGTGTTCTGGGAAAAGCCTGTTCTGACAGCAGCTTGTTTTGAAAAAACATGGATAAATAAAGCAGGGATTGTTCTGCATTTATTGTAAACATATCCTCTTCTCTTTTGCTCTACATTTGTCCTAAACTATAGTCTAAACTATCTCTACAAATCCAAGAATTTATGTAGTCCTTCATTTTCTTAAACTGTTTGTATACCACTGCACATTGTTGAATTGCCACTGTAGTCCATCCTTTGATTTTAGTAAAACTACTTGTTAAACTTCTGGAAGTTTATATAGCTTTTATGTTCATAGGTTTGTTCAAAAATTGTACAGACATAGATTCTTACAGGACACTTGTGTTAGAAAAGTAAACACTATTTTATCTTTTTTTAGTTGGTGAAACCATGGTTTAAAGGCAAATGGTAGCACTTTTCTGAGAGCACAGGTTCATGGAGGCAGAGTTCCAATTAGAAACTGGGACTTCGAACTTCTTACCATGTGTTCAAGTCACTAACCCCACTCTCTCGTCATGAAGAGTGAGATAGCTGCTAGATGGAGTATCTACACTGGTTTTCCAATATCTAACTGCTGCTTAAAATCTACCCTGAAACATCTCTGGGGTATTGACTGCAGTTGTGCCTTCTGCACCAGCTTTGTAAGAAGACTGTCTCTGTTATACATCAGTTGCTCAACTAGCTGCTTTAGTAGAGTCTTCCTGTGTGTTAATTTGTATCATATAAAATACTTTAGGATCAACATTTCTACATACACTTAGGGTAGCTATTACTAATAGCAGAAAATGAAAGACTTTAACACACTTCTTCTTAGGAAAAGAGTTATCTTTTATTTTAGAGACAAGCAAGCCGAGCACAGTAATCCATCGAGCTGTTTAAGTGACACAGTATTTATAAGAACATTTTATGTTCACTACCCTAAACTTCCCATCTTATTCTTAAATCAGTACAATACATTTTCCTTTGAAGACAGAATCAAACAGGCCATGATTTTGCTGTAAAGCTATTACTAACACTTTGCCGGAAACACGATTTGAATAAGAAACATTCATACTGGCAGAGAGGAAAAGAAAACTCACAAAAGCTGGTTTTAACTCTACCAGCTCTTGACCTGCTTCCTCTTGACTTATGACTTGTGAGATATCAAAGTCAGGCATCTCTCTCCACTGAAAGGCTCACCCAGCCTACACTGGACTACACCAGTCATGGTAAGGTGTATAGGTGTTTCAAAAAATTGTAGCCTGTTGTTTCTGTCATGTGAATTCTTCTCTCTTCTTACCATGTGAGCCTTGGAAACTCACATGCTGAAACTCACTGTACCTATTACAATAACCCTTTCCTTTCAGGAGATTTAGAGAATGAAATAATTGATCTCTTTTACAAAAAATGTGACTTCTTTCTAATACTGTCACTTCTCTCCCTATTGTGACTTCAAGTTCTTACAACTTATGTGAAATATATGTGGAGGTAAGAGAAAGTACCCTTTTAAGTTTGATGTCACTCCATCCTGGCTGATAAGTGTTAGGAACCATAATGACCTTTTGATGGCCAAACTGAGCAGCTGTGCCACAGGGTGTTGCAAACCTGAGATACACACAAAGGGGATCAGCCACAGAGGCTTTTCCTCTGATCCTGTGTCCTTTCTAATCTATTTAGTATCTGGAGCCTCCAAGTCACATATGAAAAGTAATATTAACTGTAAGTGTAAAGCAGCTATAGATTTCTGTAGTTTATTGGTTAGCAAGTGAGCTGGAAGCTCTATCCTCAATGCAATGCTTCAGAGATATATCACTTCTAGGAAAATGTGACTGTAGTAAACAGCCGAGTTCTTAAATTAGTCAGTATCATAAAATATTTTCTA